CAATATAGCGAGATTATTTACCTAATAAAAAAAAATCTAAAAAGAAAGCTTTGTTAAGGTGTTCAGTGAACACTCTGAACCATTCGACGCCTCGCCTCTGATTATCACAATAGTATTTTGTAAGGTTGGAACGGTTTGAATATGGGCGTAATAGTGCTGTAAATCGGCACTACAATTTATAGTACGTAGGACATCTCTTAACTGATTGATTAGCTTAAAATTGATTTAATAATAACTAGAACAAACTCTGCAATATTATTAAATAAGTTTAATATATCAAGTCCCGAGAAACATTTGTATTCATACAAAAAAACCAGTTTGTTGTGTCAAGATGGGTGTAAGAAAGCTTTATATTGCGGTCATTAGTAGAGCCAAAATATATATATTCTTTGAATTCTTTGATAATTTCTCTTATTTATCAATTCTGGTACTCAGTAACAATTTTTTAGTTTTAAAGTTGAAAACTTATTACAAAGGCAAAAAATATTTGCAAAATGTTAAGATCACATCCATCGCAAGTACTCTAAAGTCCTACATACAGTATAAAGTCTTGCAACATTAAAGACACATTTCTCTGGAGTAACGCTAAAAAATCAATTTAAAAAAAACTATGTACCAAACAGTAATAAAATATACAAAAGCGATGCTCAGTCTAACACAAAACTTTTCAACTACCCTTCGTAACAAATTTTTTTAGCATATATTTACAAAGTAATGGTTTTTCTCTTTTATTTCATAGTATAATCTTAATTTTATTATAATTTTAATTGTCTCCCTTTCCCGCCCCTCTGCACTCCTCTATTGCATTTCTACAGCATCCACTTAAAGTTCTCACAAAATGTCAAAATTTTGAAACTTCATAGCTTGCAGGGCATAAAAAAATTTAACAATTATGTCAACTTAATTTTAGTACCTAATCCTTGACATCCTTAAATTATATAAACAACACATACTTCAAAGGCAGCAACAGAGAAGAGCAGTCGTTAAAGCAGCAGTGACGAAGAAGGCGAATATGGAACGAAACCGGAATTATAATACAAACATTAACCCTTGCCGTCGCGAGCAGCTGGCACACCGAGAGGAGTGCAAGTTCTGTCAAAAAGGTGTTGAAGCTACAAAGCTTATTAAGGGGATTAATAATTAATGGTTTGATTTCGATGCCGTAAGAGGGACGCTTTAATTAGCTTGCATTTTTAGATTTAATGACATTTGTTGAGAGGGAAGGCTTGAAGGTAAAATTAAAGGAAATGTGTACACATAAAGGTACGAAGCCACTTTTCTGA